TCACTCTACCTCTTAAAGTCAATTAATTCCTCAAAAGAATAGCCAAGATTTCCAAATATTTACCCATGCGAGAAAAGTCTGGTTCTTGGAAATTTGGCTAAATCTTATTCCAGGATCATGTTGGAAAAACCTCAGAGTACACCAATGAAATATGTTACACGTGAACAATTCCCCCAGATGTTATGCAATGCAGTGGCCTTGATGTGAACATTTTGACTCACAGCAGAGCTAAGGAGAGGTAGAAGAGCGAACTGGTGCACTGGTCCCAGGAATGAAGGGCATCCTTCATGAGAAGTGGGCATGGAACAGGTCAGGAAATTATGGGATTCCCAGCACATAGCTTCTTATCATAGCCATGGAGCTATGTGGAATCAAGCTGAGGTTGCTGAGGAAGGCTATATGAAGCAATAATGGTGAAAAATAAAGGCTCTTTTTCCCACTTTGAAATGATTAACACTGGATTTAGAAGGCAAAAAATTTATTCTTATGGGGCTAAATGAATATACCATTCTGGATGATTTTCCAAATCTGACTTTTGTCCAGTGCAAGCCATATTTATAGGATAGTCTCTTGTTCATCACTGGCTATGAAAAAAATTCTCTTTGGAATTCAGTGAAGGAAAAGAAACAAAACCTCAAAATACCAAAAATTAAGGGCAGCATTGGATGAAAATAATAAAGACCATTTCACACATAGAGAAGAAATAAGGTCTATGGAGAATGGAGAAGTGGAGGCATTTGACTGACTTAGATAGCAGAGATCTGTCACTCATCCCTATGAGGAAAGAGACATCAGAATCTCACAAGGTGACCTGGATTATATCTACAAGGGCCATCAAGTATTACAGCTACAACCCAGGCCATTCTTTCTGCCAAGGATGGTGAAGCAACACAGATATGCTTATTTACACACTGCACGAGACTGATGCCCATGATGTGCACACTTTATAAAGTATCACAGGCTACTAGAGCCTACAATAGGCCTAGGTGGTAACTGGGCTATGCACACACCTATTGTTACTCCTATGACAAGTATTTTCCCATTATGTATGGCCAAATGTTAAGTTCCATTTAACCTTGAACATGCATCTTTAAGGGATTCCCCAAAGATGGAGGAGTTGAAAAGGGGATGAAGTGGATTTAGTAGACCAGTAAAACTAGATTGTGAACTGGGATTCATGGAGAGTTAATATGTTTACTGTATAACTAAATCCAAAAAATCAGTTAATTAGTAAAGAGTGGACAGCAACTAAAAGGGAACCAAGAAAGTAAACTGAGACCTAATCACCCTAAGTGTGCTTCAGACAGTGGTAAAAGCACCCCTGGGTTCAATCCCCAGTACCAAAAATGTCATCAATAAAAAATGTGAATGAATAAAAAAAGGAACTCACCAGGTTTACTAACTATGACTGTGCTTTGGCAAATGAAGGCAGGACTCAGCTGGCAGCTCTGCTGCAGACTGCTGGATTGGGCTCCTTACTGCAGGATGTACTCAGGTCTGCTCTATGTGTGTTCATTCAGGGGTCCATGCTAAGTGGACATTAACTATCAAAGGCATGTTCTCATGGAATGTGACCCATGTCCAAGAACTCAGGTCCAACCATGCAAGAACTTTTTAATGCTCTTACTTAATATTCATTGATTGACCAATTCAAGGCATGTGACTCAAAGTCAAGGGGCAAAAAAGTACATTTTGGCCACTATGAAGCCATGCAAGTATGTAGATGCATAATTTGATCACAAGAAATGACAAACTGAAGGAAAAACTTGATCTCCAACAATCCTCTTAATTCATTTTTTTCAATTACACTTTATAGGACAGTTTCTAGATCTTTCATCATGCTGACCCTATTCTTCCATGTGAATTTTAGTACTTCAGCATTCCTGTTAAATCACAATGATTACAAGTGAATACAATACTCCACATGTGGTCTTACCAGTACTGATTTTGCCCAGTGAAAAGCTTTAGTGGCAAAAAAGTTTTAAAATATATCTAGACAAGAACACTGTTCAGAAAATATAAAAGAAATGAAATGGTTTGGGAAGTTTAAAAACATCAGCTGTCCTTTTAAACCGAGTAATAAATTAAACATTTTTTCCCTTCTAAAGTACAAGGGAGGTAATTCAGAGTAATATTCAAGAAATTATCCTCTAAATTCTGTTTTCTAATCTCAGGAACCAAATTTTCTACCTCGATAACATTCTTAGGCCACTCTGGAGTTTATAAAGCCCTTAAATATTAATTTAATTCTTAACAACTCTGAACTTGGCATTACTTTTGCCCTTCCTGAAAGATACTTCCTTTACCTAGTGAACAATGTCTTTCTCACTGCCAGGCCTAAAGGGAAGAGGCCTCTTCCCTCTGCCTGGAACATCCTTCCTGCACAACCCCCTTCCTTTACCTGCCTAGTTACCATTATCTTTAAGTAAATCTCAACTGCAATGGCAGTCCATAAGCTGTGCCTAGCTTTCATTTTTCAGTAAATATTTATTGAGTGCCATCTAGAAACAAAGGACTCTACAAGGTGCTGGGGATATAGCAGTGAACATAACAGTATAATCCTTGTGCTTACATGGCTTAGCACCCAACTGGAGAGAGAGACATTAAACAAATAATTACACCACTAGCCAATTAATCACAACAGTGGTAAAAGGGATAAAGGCAAAGTACTATACTATACTATCTCTTCCTTATTGCAGCATTTATTATGCTTTATTATAATTAGCTATTTGTCTCTATTCACCAATATGGATGAAAGGTATGACTATCAACTATATTTTCATAGCTTGGTATAACTCCTACTAAATACAAATACATATTTATGGAGTAGTTAAATAATCAGATGGACTTGCTCCAATTGCTAAATTAATGAGCTAGGAAAAGACTGGAATTTGGGATTCTGATTCCAATACTTCCATCTCTATACAGCATTTCCAAGAAATTACAATGATTCTAATACTTCAATGCAAGCTTACTACATAACTATAAAAGAAAAAGACTTAACTCATACATATTATATATAAACTATGCCTTTCTGTAACAAAAACCTATGTATATACAGGTTTTATATAATGTGTATCTTATTAATATACACTAATATAGATATACTAATGACCTCATATTCCTATTTGTTTTGACTATTACTTAGGCATTTATAATGGAACATGTTAAAAATATAAATTTGCAAATTTAACTGCAAAATTAAAAATGAGCTTGTGTCTAAATAAATGGTAATAACAGTAATTGCAAATAATATACAACAAAAATACAAATATACATATAATTTGGGGTTATGGTTAAATAAAAATCAATTTCTTAAATGTATAATTCAAAGTTTATGCTTCAGAGAATAACAATAAGAAATTCATTTATTATAAAATAATGGCTATTCTTTCATTCCCTAGGTCATATTCACAACATGGCCAGTCTATTATCCAAACCTGGCTAAAGACATTATCTTATTGAATATTGAATTTTTCTTTGAGTTCACAGAAATTACAAATACAACAACAGTGGTAAAAGGGCAAACGTGCTAGTAAATCTTTTCTTACACTCTTCCAAAAGAATAATTTTAAGTTGGACTTTTGAAAACTGACTAGTTCATTGAAGGGAATTAGCACCATCTAGTGAAAGAAACTGGTAAAATTTGAAAATGAAAAGAAAATAGTTTCTGTAAGCAAGGTAACGAAGCTGTGTAAAAAATTCATAAAACTAGACTTTTATTAATTTATACTGAACTTTAACAGACACCAGGTATTAATATTACATTTGTATAAATATAACCCTCAGCATAATCATTTAAAAATTTTCTAGAAATATTCCTGTTATCGAATATTTACAAGGAAGATAATTTGCTATGTTGAAGGTGCCATTAAATAAGTACGATTTATTAACACACTTCCTGGTCCTCTAACTTGCAATCAGAGTTAAAGATCCTTCACTTTCTTCTACAGATGTTGGAAAGTCAAAAACTTCTGAAACTGGGCAAATTAGTTTGGTGACTGCATATAGGATGAATTCACATGAAAATGTGTGTAAAGGGAAGACTAACTAGTTGCGGGTTGATGGCATTAATCTAGAGAGGAGATAACAAAGTCTGAACTGAAATAAAAACAAAGGGTCTAGGAAGAGTGGTGAAAGTTTACACTGGGTTTGGGGGTCATGACAACATGAAGAATGTCTCTGATGTAGCAATTTAAAAAAAAATTTTGGTCATACCTCTTTATGTCTTTTTAACATCATCATCTTAAACATTTTTTACTTTTTTTTTTTTTTTTTTGCCTTATTCTCCCTACTAGAGGACAAGAGGGGAGCTTTTGCATGGAGGTTAATAATGATGGAATTAAAATAATGTGTGAGGGTCACTTATTTTAATTGTATAACTGCTGTAGAGATAACTAAAAACACAGTAGAGTTTTCCCCTCTATCTTTAAAAGTCTTCATGCAGAACTTAGGAGAAATCTTAATTATGCATATTAGTGACTCAAATCTGCAATTGTTGCATCATGATGAAAATTTTTAGCTAGTGGTTGAAAAGAAATTTGAGTTGGTCCTTTTATACTGCATCTTTGGATAAAAATATCAATTCATTGGTTATTCTTTTCCTATTAATTTCAAGATTAAATTATACTGCCTATCTCCCAAATGCACTAAGATGTAAATTAAGTAAAGATTAGGACTTATAAATATAAAATTACAAATACCAAAAAGAAAATATAGCCTATGCAAATTAACTTCTAATAAATACTTCAACTATACAGTAACATTGTTAGTATAACAAAATAAAACTACATTTTATACAAGCTAAATTTCACTTAAAATTCTAAAACACTAACCAAAATATTTATTTTCCTAGGTTCTTCTCTTTATACTCTTTCTAAGAATATTTTGCCTTGGTATTACATAAATTTCCATTCACTTGAATTCCTAAGCCTGCGAACTCCACTGAGGATGATCATTTACACTAGAAGGCTGACCATTCACAGCTATCAGATACATACCTGAATTAAGGAAAAACTGAGGAGAATCTCCATGAATGCCCACAATACCTGGCCCCAAGGAGTCAGACAGGGTATTCACAAAGGAAAACACTCCGCTCATGATTCCAAAGCCCAAGCCAGAAACTAAAAAGGAATAAAAACACTGTTAAACCCTTTTCTTGCTGTGATTTCTATTCAAATAAAAATTCTAAGAACTAGGGAATACTACTTTGCCAGAGGGGAAATGGTACATATGCTATTGTTGAAGCAGTGGCCAGCCAGCTCTGGAAAGGCATGTGCTTACCTACATGATGAACAAAGAGAAATGGTAAGAGAAAGGGAAATGAACAATGGGATTCAGCAGAGAAGTGAAAAAAAGGATACAAAAAGATCTAGAAACACAGAAGAAATAGATGAGGCAGAGGAGGATATGATGCTAAAGTTCTGGCTTTGGTTTATGGTAACAGAATCTATAGAGTTAAATTTGATGGCTTAGAACCAAAATTGAACTTGAAAAGTGACTGTGCATGTAAGGCTTGATCCTGGGCTCAATTTAGAGTCCTAAGCCCAATCTAAAAACATAATTCTGTAAGAATAATATGCAAAGATATGCCTAAAAAAAGATATGCCTGAATTAATATAAAGAGTCCTCCTAGTGCAGCTAAAGTCATGGTAAACAATCAGGGAAAGTGAAAGCTACATCACTATGAAATTGTTGGTTAACTAGAATATAGTATATATGTTAAAAATCTTTCAAACTTGATTAATATTTAATGAACATACAGAAAAAGGTCACCAGTAATCATTTTCCTTCACATAAGGAACCAGGAAAGTTGTAAAAAAAAACAAATAATATATGCCAATAAGTCAAGACAGTAATAAAATACTGCTTGAAATCTACAAAAGATAAGATGAAGGTAGTGGGGTTCTTTTTGAACCGGGGATTGAACCCAGGGGTGCTTAACCACTGAGTCACATGTATTTTATTTAGAGACAGGGTCTCGATGAGTTGCTTAGGGCTTCACTAAGTTGTGAGGCTAGCTTTGAACTCATGAACCTCCTGCCTCAGCCTCCTGAGCTGCTGAGATTACAGGTGGCATGTGCCTCTGTGCCCAGCAAGATAAAGAAAGTTTTCAAGCCAAGTCTGATTTTTTTTTTTTTTCCTTAATGACACGGCATGGTTCTAACTTACCATAGGCCAGCAATTGCATGGAGGGTGCACTCTCATCTGGGTTTATGCTCTTCAAACCCTCACTGGCTTTTCTATAATAAAACCACACACATACATTTTTTTAAAAAAAGAAGAAAAAGCAGTATGTCAGGAAAGTACACAAGACACTTCAAATCCAGATACTTCCTAAGACTCTGATCAGGTTATACTCTAAATCTAGAATCCATTCAAACAAAACCCAGCATATTTTCAATTAAGTAAAATCAGCTGTAATTTCTAACTTCTGCCTTTTTTCTAAATGCTCATATAAAAAAGAAAAACATAGGTAAATAAGTCATGAAGGAATTAATTTAATAAGAAAAACAGCAACACCATATTTCTAAGCTCAATAAATATCTCAATATCCATGGAATTTACCACTCTGAACTTTTTTTCTTTTCCCAAAGCACTGTCTTCATCTCCACTTTATCTTTTATTAGGGCCACACTTACTGCCTCCTTCCCTTCTGTCTTGCACTCTGTAAAACCAAAACTTTTCTCCTTTTTCTTCCTTATCCTCCTCTATTCTCTCCTCCCTCCCTCCTTCTCTCCTTCTCTCTCTCTCTCTTTGCTGGGGATTGAACCCAGGGTCTCACACATGCTAAGCACATGCTATACCAGTGAGCCACACCCTCAGGCCCCAGGCAATAATTTCTTAAAGAAGCTGCCTCTACCAATGGTTGATTATCACTAGTCCTCCTTACTCTTAAATCCTATAATACTGATGATCTGAACTCTCATAGGGGTACTTAATTATATCTGATTCTAAAATATTTTACATGTATATTTTATATCTCCAATAGACTTCAGGAAAGAAAACAGCCTAATACTTTTATTATATCCTGTAGAATGAAATGTTACAGGAATAAGAGGTAAATAAATATTTGAATGAAAGGATAGAATACTGCTCAACAAGAAATGATCTTCAGAGTAATCATATGCTTCCTTTATAGCCAATCCACAAACACATCATTGAGCCTCCACTTTCCACCTGATATGTACAGAATGCTAGATATGGCTGGTCAGTTCCACTACAGGCACTATTGCTACTCCTTTTTGGCCAGGAACTATGCAACAGTATAAGATTCTGACTCAAAGAATATTTAAATTATATTTACTAAAACATATGTTTACTAAAGTAATAATGGAAACAAAACATTTTTGACTCATTTGTCAGCAAGTGTTGAAACAAAAAGGAGAGAGATGAACTCTAAAAACACAAAACTAACCAGAACATTCTTACTTTCTGGCATTGTGTTAATTTAAATTTCAAGGTATGTAAATTCATTATAGACTACATTAAGGCAATGCAGAATTCAGCCAAAATACTAATATGCATATGAAAAGTGTTCTTTGTTTTTCTGGACTCAAAAGAATAAGCCAGAAATTTAAGTGACAGTTTTCCTATTTCTTTGGAGCAGTAACCAACTAAATTATCCAATTTTCCTAAATAAAATAAACTTTTTACCTATTACAGGGATCCTGTTAAAAACTAACTAAAGCTTATGAGTCATTGTAATAATAATGATCTCCTTCAACAAAGTTATCAATAAAGTAAAATGAATAAATTTTGTAGAATTTGTTTTATAAAATGATTCAGGAATAAAAAAATATTTTTACTATTTGGTATGGCAAAGTACTGTTATCACAAATACATGAAATATATAAGTTCAAAAGTTTAGTAAACTTCCTCAGTCTATTTTACAGGAGTGTTTGAGAGGGAATGTTTTGGCACTAATAGTTCTTAGTGTTAACAGTAGGAAGTGAAAAAGCACAAAACATGATCAGTTTCCATGTTCCTGACGCACAGAACACATGACTGTTGATGCAAGTAGTAGTGTTTTCAATTTAACATTTTACGGAAGTGAAAAATTCTTTGTTTGCATTTATTATTGTATTTCCAAGAATGGAAAAAAGATCCCATTTTAAAAAATATAAACTTTGAAAAATTACTGGTAAACCATACTCTTTTTGTTTGTTCTATTTTCAAATGTATATATAATAGAGGTATGCATCAAGAACTATGCACACAAATTAAATACACCATTTTAGAAATTTTAAAAAAATAGACTGATGCCTCTTAAAGAAAACTGTAGCAGAGCTATGGGTATAGTCAGCGGTAGAGCACAAAGACCTGGATTCAATAACTACCAAAAAACAAACAGTGGTACATGCTTATAATCCCAGCAACTTGGTAAGCTGAGGCAGGAGGATCACAAGTTTGAAGTCAGCCTCAGCAACTTAGCAAGGCCCTCAGCAACGTAATGAGACCCCATGTCAAAATGTAAAAAGAGCTAGGATGTATGTAGCTCAATGGTAGAGCATGCCTGGGTTCAATCCCGAGAGAACCAGCAACAAAAACAAACACCATCGTGAACTCTTCACAATTTAATCCTGGCGCCAAATTCAGGGAGCAAAATTTAACTGAAGCACTCCTTTAAACTTAAAAAGTTCAAAACCTACTTTGGCACTGGAGAGCATTAAACTAAATATTCATTAAACCAAAGACCCTGTATTTGAATGTAGTAAAGCATAGAAGAGAGCAATTTAAATGTATCCATGTGTTAGTTATCATTAAAGTGTCACAAAATTCTCAAATTTGTTTTAACTCAACTACATAACATCCAACATTTCTAGAAATTTCTAGGAAATTTTTGTAGAATATTTCAAAGGTTTATTAAAGATCCATTTTGCAAATGCAAACAAAAGCACCTGTTGACATGTTTGTTCTACCACCTTTTTGGAAAATTTCCACAGGTCCTTTTACAGGAGTACATGTGGTTTCCTGAAGAGCCAATGATGATGTTGACAGGAAAAACAAGTGCAATGTGAAGCCGAGTTGAGAACACAGTGCCCAGGCCAGCACACTACTTAGACCACACTGCAGAATACTATGCTAGGTTCTGAGCATGGGTAAAAATCAGCACTGACCAAAAGGAGCATGTCCACTGACAAAAAATAAACTTGGAAGCCACAATCATGTCTTCTGAGATCCACATGAAGAAATGAGGAATGTTTAGTCTTGAAAGGGACATGATGACAATCATGTGGCAAAGATTTCATTTATTTGGTGAGTGGGGCAGAGGTCAGAAGGAGACAGATTTTGATTACTTCAGTAATATTCTACAGTAAAAATTAAAATCATAGCACAGTAGTAATAGCTATATGCCAGAAACATTCAATCACTGCCAGATGTTCATCCATTAGTATTCCTGTGAAAATTAATTTTTTTTCTTTCTTTTTGAGACAGGGTCTAACTATGTTGCTCAGGCAGGCCTTGATCTGCTGGGCTCAAGCAATTTTCCTAATTCAGCCTCACCTCCTGAGTAGCTGGAGCTATAGACACATACCACCAAATATAGCTTTAAATGTTACTTTTGATATTTATTTATTGCTCTCCAACATTTCCAGGGACTAATGGGAATTTCATGTTTAAACCTTTTCTAAGAAAAGGCTTCCTAGTTTTCAATTTGTAATTTAAAGTGTTTCAGTATGAAAAGGAAATTCAATATCTAAAAGTAAAAAGTTAAAAATATAGAAGGCCTAGCATATTAGCAAGAACAAATTACTAGAAGCCTATTAAAAGAGATGTTAAAGTTCAGTCTGGGTTGTATCTATGAAATTCATGGACAGCTGTAATTACCTCATTTGCAGAAATGGATACAAATGGCACATTTATTATTCTACCAAGTCTTACTATGTAACCAGGGCCAATCTCATGACTGCCTGAAAGAAAATATCATTCCAAGTTGTGTTTCAAATCAGAAGTTTCATATGAGGTCCTCATGGGTACCACAGATGACATACTCTGTGGCCCAAAAGAGGGAACTTGTGCCCAAGTTTATTTTTTTTTCCAAACATTTTTATTTTATAGATTTGAAACTATAGAAAATACCATAAAACAAACCACTGCTGTGCCATAATATATTCAAAACAATGGAAGGCATAAGCTCCATAAGAATTATCTTAGATGGTCGGAAAGAACACATAAATTCCAAGTTGGAAGCATTTTTGTTGTTTCAATGACTATTTCCCTAGGTTGCTTTTCTCCATGTTACTTCTTCTAATATACAATGTATTTTCTTGTTCATTTATTGGCCCTTCTCCTCTTATGATAAACTCCATGAGGTCAGAGATTTTTTTAGTCATTGATGTATACCCAGTGCCTTGCATTGGCATTGACACTGTCTGGCATCAAATATATTCTCAAGAATAATTTTTTGGAAGGCAGGCACAGTGGTGCACACCTATAATCCCACAGAGGCTGAGGCAAGAGGAACACAAGTTTATGGCCAGTCTCAGCAACTTAGGGAGACCATACCTTTAAAAAAAAAAAAAAAGATTAAAAGGGCTGGGGATGTAGCTCCATGCTAAAGTGCCCCTGGGTTCAATCCCAAATACCCTAAAAAAAAAAATAAAAAATAAACAAGGCTGGGGATGTCGCTCAATGGTAAGTGCCCTTGGGTTCACTCTCCAGGACCAAAAAAAGAAAAGAAAAGAAAAAAAGAAAAAGAAGATTATATTTTAAAAGGAAGGAAGGAATCTACACAAGTTAAAGAAGACTCAATATTTTCAGGCTGGAAATATCAATCCCTTCATTTTGAACTATGTAGTAAAGTACGGATCCTCAAATACATAGGATTATTAATGTTTCACATTACCAAATCATAATTCAAATCTAACTAGGGGAAATGATACAGCAAACAACTTACTTTAAAAGTCTGTAATAAGCAAATCGGAACATTTCTTGGATAATGACTGAAACCAACACTCCGAAGATTAGCACATATTTCTGTGTTGGTCCATCTTTGTTCTCAGTAATGTGGCTTGCTATGAACCATAAAAGGGATGAAAGGAGTAGAGACACCAACCAGAAGAAAGCTCTGAAAATCAGGGGAAAAAATTATAAACATAAGGATTAATAATGATTTTAAATGGGGACCAGGAGCCTGACTGGGAAGGAACAGATATTCTGAATTTTAAATAAGAAATCCTCATAAAGCGGTACTCTGGATCAATTGTTCTTAATGGTGCATTGTCTGTGGTGAGACAAACATGTGATCTAAGAGGAAAGTGAGGTTTGCCCAACAAGTGACCCTATTATGCGCAAGTGCATCTGCAAACTCTACCTATCAAAGACTACCTGACAGGAACCCTTGTTACTCTCTTTTCTTCCTAATGCTCTGCTCACTGATGTGTCAAAACCATAAAACATACAACTTTGTGACTATTGCAATTTTCATATCCTTCAAATCTGCCAGAAATTGAGGACTCAATATTCAGATATCCGCAAAGATGTGTTTTCCAGGGAGGGAAAAAAAGTCTACACTCTATTAATAGAGTAATTGGTGAAAATCCAGAGGGTGAAAATCTAGATCAGTTATTTCCAAGCTTGGTTCTTACAACACTCCTGGGGATTTTAATGATCACAGCGAGCTTTACAAATGGGTTAACCCAAATCTCTTGTTTTTAAAACGACACATGTGATATAGCACTTTCAATACAGTTGCAGGAGGCAACTATAAATAAAATAAAGGAACCATTGGCTTTGCCAGTAAGATTTGTAGGGGAAGGCAGACGTGGCATGAACCAGTGAGAGCGGTCAGGCAGGTTAAAAATGAGATTATGACCACGTTCACCACCAGAGTTCGGTATTTACCAAGCCCCCAAAAGGAGATGCATGATCAGGTGCTCCTGTGTTTTCATAAATTTCCAACCTTTCGCTGCACACACACCTGAATCACCTAGGGAGCTTTAGAGAAAAAAAAAAAAAAAGAGCCTGAGCTCGAATCCCACACCTTAGACATTCTGGTTCAGTGGATCTAAGGTTGGGAGTGGGCATCCGTATATTTTAAAGTCCCCAGGTGTCTCTAGTTGCTGAAGGGCGAGAACTACTGTGCTAGGCAGTAAAGGCTATTTAACCGTCAGTGATTACAGATGCCTTTGAGAATTTTAGAAAATTAGAGACTACCTCTCCAGAAAAATTAAGGTGCCTATAAGAACTTATCCAAATTTTTTTTTCTCATAATTTTAGTGGCTTCATAGCCCACTAAGGCCCACCCACGGATTTGCGATGCCTGCCATGCATCAGGGGGTTCTGAGACCCACAATGTGAACCCCTTCTTCAGAACCCGCAGCTGAGGTCTCCGGGCTCTGGGGGTTTTTTTCCCCACAGGCCCTGGAGGAGGGCAAAGAGCCTCAGGGGTCCCGGGTCTTGGTTCCCTGGTCTCAACCCTCCTCCGATCCAAAACCTAGCAAGGTCGACTCATTTGATGGGGACGCTGAGGGTCGCGGGTGCCCCAGGCGGGGGAGGGGGGCCCCAGCGTCTGGGTCTGCTAGCGCAACCGCCTCACCCGGCGATGAGGAAGATGACGCGCAACGGCTCGATGGCGATGGTGAAGACGTAGAGGGCAAGCGCAGGCCCGAAGGCAATGAAGGTGCAACCGAAGAACACGGCCGCCGTCATGGCGACCGCGGAAGCCAGCCTGGGGGCCCGGCAGGGACCAGAGAAGCGCCCGGCGCCGTCAGAGCTGGGGGCGGGGCGCGGGGCGGGGCCAAGAGGTATCCGGGCGCGGTCGGAGCCGGGGGCGGGGCCACGAGGTGCCCAGGGCTTTCACATAATACAGCTACTGATATTTAATTCTTATGGTAAACCATGACCTTTGCCCATTTTAAAGTTAGTTTTTCTACTTACTTCACTGCATAGTTCTTCAGACATCATCTATATGTTTTGGTTGAAGCTGCCTCACTTTGGAAGTAAGCGAAGTAATGAATGATAACTAAAATGGTCTATAACAATGTCCTTATCCCACCCTCAAAGCGCAGTACGATGTGGGGGAATTTGCAGTTATTGTTTATTGATCATATTTTAGTTCAATTTTAGTCCCTAAGTCTATTTTAAAAACGAGAAGGCAATGAAAAAAAATGTGGTGAGCCTGCCCCTCTACATATAAAGACATCTTTACCTGATGTCTGTTGGAACAGAAATTAACTAGAAAACCAGTGAAGGCACCACTAAAATATCGTCTGCAGCACTCATTATTATTCACTAGAAAAACATTGTTTCAAACAGTCTCTGAATCATAATACCATCTTACATTTATCTAATACATTGCTGTTTAAAAGTACTGGGCCAGGGGTGTAGCTTGGTGGTACAATGCCTGCCTAGTATGTGTGAGACCCTGAGTTTGATCCCAGCACACACACACACACACACACACACACACACACACATTCTAATAAATTTTTTTTTAAAAAAATCACCTTTACAATGATTTCAAAAATCCTATTACACATGAGAAGTTTAAGGCTAAGTAGCAGTGCTATTGACTCAAGTTTTTATAAACATACTGTTAAGTGTCCCCCAAAACTTGAAAACATAGGTACTAAGTGATGTTGGGAATTAAATCCTTAAAAGGTGACTGGGAAAAAGAGAAGGCAGGCACCTACAATAGATATAGCTATAAAATGCTAAGAATTCTTCCAACTGTGCATATACTAGCGAGTGCAGTTAAAATTTGCATTCTGGTAATATTAATCTATCTATATTTATTCAACCATTAGTTTATTCATTCAAAATATGTACTAAATGCCTACTAAGTATTAGACACAAATCTAGGTATTTGGAATACACCAATGAAACAGATGTGCTCCTGTCTCCAAGGAGCTTAAAATCTAGTGGAGAATCCAGATAGGCAAATATGGGGTTCTATGAAAATATGCTGGAAGAGAGAAAAGCATCCAGTCCAAACTCATGAGGTTTTGCCAAAGAAGGTAATGCCTTACTCATATTTATCTAATACATTACTGTTTAAAAGGTATCAGCTCAGGAGTTAGCAAAGATAAGAAAGAGGGAGGAGATGGAAGGATAAGTGGAATGTGGTCAAAAATGAAGAAAACATTCTGAGAATGGAAAACATTCTGGGAGTCAGAGAGTAGTTCAGGATGGCCTGGGTGTGTGAGGAGAAAGACAAGAGGTAAGACTGGAAAGGCCAGTGGGGGGTGATCACAAAGGGCCTTGTAATCAGTTTTATGGGTTTTAGAGTTCACCTAAAGTGAGCTTTAATCAGGTGAGCAACAAAATCAGATCAGATATGGAAACTAAGATTCCAGATAGGAGGTGCTAGGTGTATTTTCGGGATGAGATAAAAGAGGTCTGAATCAGAGAAGTTACAGGAGTTTGGAGAAAACCAGAGAGATTTAAGAGAGTCAGGAATAGTGCACACAGAATTTAGTGACTAATTAGTTACATGAAGTGAGAGGAAAAAGTGAAGGAAAATGGATTCTAGAGATTTTTAGCTTAAATGGTTGCTATGAAGATGGGAGGAGGAGAAAATATGGGGAAAAGACACAATAATAGGTACCATTTTGGATGCCCTGAGATTTAGATGCTTATACGATAGCATGTGGAGGTGTTCAGTAAGCAAACTGAATAGGCAGGATCAGGCGAGATCTGGACTAAAAATCCAGAATTGAGACTTTGCATAATACTTGGAAACTTAGGAGTGGATATAATCACCTCAAGTGTTGCCAGAAACCAATGTTTCAGGTACAAGAAGAGGAACCACAAAAGAAACTGAAAAGGAACAACTAGGAAGGTAGCAAGAAACTAGGAGCATGGTAATGTCACTGAAGCAAAGGAGAAAAAAAAATTTCACAAAGGAGGATGTGGAGAGGTTAATCAAGGTACTAGTGAAATGTGTCCACTGGATCTTGCTATAAGGAAGTCACTAGTGTATGTAACACACAAACGGGTAAAAGCCATTCTGCAAAGTGTTCTTCAACTAGTATGTGGTAAGAAAGAGATATTTGGCTTCGGAGGAGAGGAGACAGGAAGCCAGTTAAGGGAGGACAGGAGATAGAGGGATACATTCAGTTTTATTAGTAACAAATGCTAGTTTTCATCCTGCTGGACAGGATAAGGAGGGTTCATAGTAGTAGGACGGAGTGAAGCTACTGGCCCTGCAGGAGTTAATCTGAGGACCCAAGTCTCATTAAAAACTGATTTTATTGATGGTACAGAATGAGAGTCTACAGGAAATAATACTTAGAAACCAGAGACCAAAGTAATAACCACACTTTTATAGTAATTTCAGCTTAAAAAAATATTCACTGTTTTTAATACAATGCAAGAAGAAAATATGAGATAAAGGGAGGAAAAATTAGTCATAAGAATCAGAGAAACCATTATACTATCTAATTCTTTCAATGAAGCCTTTTTTATAACTCAAAAAAGTCGATTGAACTTAAATTCCAAATTTATAAACCATAAAAGAAAGCTTCACTTAGATATCAAAGAGACAAATTGTAATTATGGTAGGATATCAAGTGGTCTGCCTTAGAGAAATTAATAGTGTTTCATAGAATATTAGGGCTGTGAATAGACTGGGGATCATCCAATATAATTAAAAAAAAAAAGGCAAAGACAACAGATAAGGAAGAAACCTAGGAAAATGCAGGTGGTTCTCAATGTCTTGGTGCAGTTGGATCTGGTATAAAGAGGCCTTTATTAAAAATCAAGAATTCCAGGTTCCAGAATAAAGCACCCACCTGCATTTCCTAAGTTTCGTCCCTTTTATTACTTTTATAATTGTATTACTCAACCTTCTGTTATTGTGGAAAAATACCTGATAAAATCAACTTAAAAGGAAGAAAGATTTTGGCTCACAGTTTGAGGTTTCAGTTCATGTTTGGCCCAGTCACTTTGGGTCTCTAGTGAGGAAGTACATCATGGTACTGAGAACATGTGGCAGAAAAGGCTGCTCATCTCAATGCAGCCAGGAGGCCAAAAAAAAAAAAAAAGAAGAAGAAGAAGAAAGAGAAGGAAGGGGCTGGGAATAGACTGGAATAGACTGTGATCCCCAGTCTATTCACAGCCATACTTGTCTTTCTCTACCTTCTTTCTTAGGGTTTCTGTCTCTTGCATCACCTTAAAAAAAAAAAAAAGTCAGTAATGAGTACTACTACTTGCAAGCTGAGGCTGAATTTACTATCCCCTTGAAGGGCACACCCACAACGACCAAACTCTTTTCACCAGGCCCTACTTCCTAAAGAACTCACCATCTTTCAATAACACCGTCATTTGGAGACCAAGCCTTCAATACATGAGATTTTGGAGGACATTTAAGACCCAAAGCATAACAAAAATATTTTTATGGGGGGAAGTCTCATATATCCCTGGAGTTAATATTGAAAAACCTATCTTTTTTCCAGCACTGAGGGTGGAATTCAGGATCTCATGCATTGCTAGGCAATGTGTTCTATCAGTGAGCTACCTTCCCAGTCCTTTTAATGCACTTATTCTATTGAGGCAGGGTCTTGCTAAGTTACCTTTCTGCCTTTGCCTCCCAAGTAAGCAAAATTTTGAGGGCAAAAAATTGAAGGAGGAGAGAGGGCTTACTCAGTTTGTCAATACTCAGCAAAAGCATTCTGGGTTAAAAATATTAAAAGAAAATCCTCTTGTATTTAATAAAAATTACATATAGTATAAGACATTTAACACAGATTAATATAGTATGAAGTATTTAACAAAGGTTAAAACAGTCTAAATACCAGAATAAAACTTCTCTTTTTCTTGCTGCCCTAAACAAGGTATTTATGGATTTACTTAATACCTTTCTTTAAATTAAAAAGTGAAGAAAAATACTTCTAAATTACCTTTAGTTCCTAAATTATATTTAGCTCACTTTGGTGGCATGTTGATTTTTAATGATTACTGAAGTTCACTGATTCAAGATTTATTAAACATTTACGATGTGCTGGGAGCCTTACTGGATGGACACTGTCCCCCCTCCCATACCATCTTCAGAAGCTATAAGACTTGGACACTGACTAACTGGGAATCTAGATAGATGATGGTAATATTTATTACCATGTAGAAGCAACAGGTCTCTCTTCATAGGATTGGAATTGCTGCTAGGAGTTGTTAGGAAGCATAGAAGATAAAATTGAATTTCAGTTTCAGAAATGTAGTTTGATATACCTGTAGTGAATCAAAGGGCAGATGTCCAGTAAGACATCTGGGCCTATGAAAAGAGGCTGGCACTAGAAATACACATTTTAAAGCTGAATTAACTCTCTATAGCTGCTGTACTGAATGACCATAAACTTAGGGGAGTAAAGCAGCACAAATGTATTATAGTTCTGGAGATTTTCAGGATGAGTTTTATAGGCTAAGATCAAGGCACTGGGACAGGCTGGGCTTTACAGGGAAATCCTTTTCCTTACTTTTTCTAGATCCTAGAGGCTGTCCAGGCTCCTTGACTCATGGCCCTGCATCCCTGTGCTTCCATCATCACTTAACTATTTTCTAAGTCTGACACTTCCTGTTTCCCTCTTATAAGAATGGCCCCTAGGTTACACTGGGCCCACTTAGATCATCCAGGATAATCTCTCGTCATCTCACATCTCAAGATCTTTAACTTGATCACATCTTCAAAGTATCTTTTGCTATATACAATATCAGTTACAGATTCCAGGGATTAGAGTATGA